AGGGCCACAAGCTGGAGTCGAACCCAGGCCGCTGCGGCAACAGCCTTGTACATGGGGCGCCTGCTCTACCACTAAGCCACCGACGCCCCAGTTCAGCAGCTTTTTGACTCTTATTTTGAAAGTCTGCTCCAGACTTCATCTTCTTTCTTATTCATGAACTTTTTTTTTTTACAACGAGGAATAACTACTGAGCAGTCTGTTGCCGTGGTGACGGCGACAGTGACTGATGGAGAGCTTTTGTCGGACTCGTTGGCACAATCTGGGTGTGTTACTGTGAGGAGACTGACGGAGTGTTGGTGTGAGCGCAGACGTGAACTCACTGTGAATCTGTTATTCAGACATCATTAAAACAAACCTGCTGCAGCTCGTCATCACTGACACGGGTCTTATTTTCCTCATATTACCACTGAATGAAAGTAACTGAGTACTTTTACTCAAGTACTGTACCAAAGTACATTTCTGACATATTTGTGTGAGTGTTTACATGTTCTGCTGCTGACACCACATCTCAGAGGGAAATGTTGTTCTAGAGTTGTTTTAAGGTGCTGACACACCAAACCCACATCAAAGAACTAGCGGCGATGAAAGCCAACTGTTGCATCGTCTACGTCGCCTCACGTCGCCCTGTGTCAGTTGCATTTGAACACACTACACGGACTACATCCGACGGCCAAGTAGCATGTACGTTCTGCGCCTGCGTGAGAGAGAGCGGAGTGAGAGAGTGGTACATCCTGTCAGCCGAGGGGTTTCCTATCTGTGCAGCCGAGCACCGCAGCACCTCCACGGACTATTACATCCAGACGGTCCCGGTGTTTCCTCCGCAGGCTCCACTTCACTCAGCTGCCCGATAAACCCGCTGCTTCTTCCCACTTTAACCTGAATAACAAACCAGGGCTCGGTGCTCCGGTTGGATCCAAACGGAGAGCCGGGGCTAGCTCAGAGACTAGCGGAGGCTAACTGGCTGTGCTTCCCTCCGGTCATGCTGCGGCTAACGCTCCGCTAGCCGCTCCCAGCTAGCTCCGGTTTGTTATTCAGGTTAAAGTGTGAAGAAGCAGCGGGTCTGTGGGGCAGCTGAGTGAAGTGGAGCCTGAGGAGGAAGCACCGGTTAGCCCCGGTTTCACTACAGGCAGATTCACTCGCTACAGGGGCGAGGAAATAAAACCTGAACAGCCAATCAGAGTGATCTCTCTCACCGACAAGCTCCGACGCAGATTCAACATGCTCAATCTGCCGAAAAGCTACAGACGCCAAAGTGCCAACGGTGCAGGACACACCGCAAAAACTAGGCCAACAGACGCTCACCGACGACCTGACTTTGGTCAACGGCCGACCGTAGGCTTGGTGTGTCAGGACCTTGACAGAGGAAGTCGTCCTCTTTGTGCTTCGTCTCCTGCAGCAGTGACCATATTTGACTTTTTTATGATCTGAACTGAAAGGACACAACGTTTTTTTGTTGAGCTGAGGACGACGGTGAGATTAAGAGGTCAGATTGTGTTGTTGATGTGTGGGTGACATCAACCTGTGGCGATGACTCTGATTATTCACGACACAACGATGACAAACTCAGGCTGCTGATTGGCCCTTTATGACCTCATTAAACTGATGTGGATGATCAGACAGTGAGGAAAGACGACTCCACTCTGACAGCTCTTCAGGAGAGTTGATATATTAAAGAAGTGAAAGAGTTCGACAAACATTTACAGCAAGATGTGTTGTTGATAATAAGATCTGAATCAGCTTCAGTGTGATCTCAGTATTTGTGCTTTAAGTCTTTAATGAATTAAGATTTCAATAAAAGAAAAACATGTTTCAGATCATGTTGGATGTTTTGTGGTTAATAATTCTTCTTCTTCACCTCCAGCTCCACAGGAAGGAGATGATGAAGAAGAAGAAGGGTATCATGTGACAAACAGAGCGACGAGGAGCTGCTGGTGAAAATAGGTCAGGGTGGTAACATGGCTGCTGCGCTGCTGCATCATCAAACATCAAAGAGTCTGAGGAGGAACGTTGGCTGTGAACGCAGCACGCCGTCGAGTTTCAGAACAGGTTTGTCCATAATGACAGAAACACTGGCCTTCAAAATAAATGTCTGCTTGTTTCTCTCTGAGAGGTCGTCATGAGTCAGCATGCACACACACACACACACACACACACACACACACACACACACACACACACACACCGCTTGTCTGTCATTGATCTTTTCTTCTGATTGTCCTTCACCGTCACATGAAATCAGTTTTTGATACGACGTCATGATTCGTTTAATTTCTTCAACAGAGAGTTTTAATTAACGCAGACATGCTCTCTGATTGGTTGATGTGTATCTGACGTTCACTCTGAAACACTGTCCATCAGTGTGAAACAGTGTGAAACAGGCTTTGAGGTTCATTTCCTGTCATTTGGTGGGCGTGTCAGACATGTTACCCAGTCAGCAGAGATGTGTAAATAAAGCAGATTCTAGCAGGTCTTTGTTTATTTTCTTTGTGTTTGTGTAACACTTGCCTCAGTGATGTAATCGTGTATTTGCCATGATGTCAATAAAGCCTCTTTGAACTGAACTGAATTAAACTCCTCTGTGTTGAGCTGCAGAGCGGCTGTGTAACACGACAGGATGTTGAACGCACCTCTGTTTCTCTTTAAATAAAGGTTTTATCAAAGCTGAACGCAGCCCTGACCTCAGCAGCTTCATTCTTTAGCCTACATGTTTTAAATGTTCCTGTGTTGTACGCTGATCCGTCATCTATTGTTTATCATCCATCAGCAGCACTTCACAGAAACACAGCTGCAGACTAGTGTTCTGGAGGTGTAACTGCAGAGTGACACAGACACACTACTGCACAAGTATAAATGCTCACATTTAAATCATCTGTCGGTCTGCTCACTCATTCTGTGTGAAATATTATCTTTACTTCATTCCTCAGTCTGATGAAATAACTTCCTGCTTGGCAACAAACAGAAACTGTTGCTGGACTAAAGAGTTAAGAGGCAGATTAGTCTGTGTATGTCAGTGTGTGGGGTGATGTTGTGGAACAGAGTAAAGATATCAGTTTACAGACAGGATGTTCAACAGGTACAGAAATGATCAGAGGGGACGTAGAGCTCACTCAGAGTCAGACTGTTGTCGCTACTCTCAGTTTGTATTTTGGTTTTTGTTGTGTACACGGGGTCAAATTGGTTCTCAGGTACAGACCCTTTAAGGGCCGACGTCACGATGACGTCATGTTATCAGCTGGAGGTGCAGCTGCCTCTCCCCCACAGGGCTGTAGGCTCCATAGGAGTGTTAAAATGTGTTTGTCTTGTTGTGTTATTGGGAGCCAGAATAGAAGGAGTCATGGCTCAAAACCAGCCGCCACTGCCCGTCAACAAAAACAAAGACAACTATGGTTAAATGTGATAAGACCAAAGGACTGGACGGAGGCCATCATCAAAAATGCTCACATGTGCAGCGCACACTTCATATCAGGTTAGGGAAAAAGTATTTCCTGTTGTAGGGATGAATAAGGTTATGTGTATTAAGGGTTATCATGTCCACCTCATCAGAAACTGGGGAGGGATTAAGAGGAAGATTGGATTTCTCTGCAACGCTAACTTTTTAGCACATTAGCTAACGTTAGCTTCCATAGCAAAACAAACAAGTGTGGTCCTCCTTTGTAAGATTGGCTTCCTGTGACATCATCCATCCACTGAGTGAGAGCATACGGGTCGGCCAGTCTGGTCCCGTTGGTCAGTGTTTACTTATTCCAGTAACACTGGCGGTCCCGGAGAGTGAGTGACCTGACATGGTGCGTTGGTAAATTCAGTCTGACGCTCTACACTAAAATGAGAGCCCTGTTGGTGGAAGAAACGCAGCGTTATATTTCTACATGAATGAACCAACGGTTAAGTTAATCACACATTCACTCCGCTCGGCGCTCTGCTGCTCCGTCTCCACAGACAGAGTGTCCAGAGTGCGCTCTGCCACTCTGAGAGTGCGCTGCTCTGGATAACCCAACGCTACATTCAGACAGCGCTCCCAATTTATCAACGCTCCAGTTTGTGTCAGAGTGCGCTCCCACACTCACAATGAGTGTTTATGAACGCACCACTCACATCATCTTCCTCCATCGTCTAAAACAAGACAACACAACTTGTTAGCTAGCGCTAGCTAATGTCTGTGGAGAACTGTTTTGCCTCCAGCTAAGCCCCGCCCACCAACAAACGTCACACTGTGTACTGACAGTAAAGGTGTATACAGGTGCAGTGGTGTGACAGTGATGGTGAGCAGAGTGTGTTCATGTCTTAGAGTTTCTTTTCTGCAATATTTTCTCTTTTTTTTAAAATGTTCAAGATCAAGAAATCAAATCAAATTTCCAGAACAGAAATGTGAACAAATGTATTTTGGATGTTTCCCTTCCTGACAGATGACGTGTTACGGAGGCTAATTAGTCCAAAAGCTCAGAACGAACCCGCGCATGAAGAACACCTGCAGTATCTGCACTTACCTGAGATAATCACACATATATCACCTCATGCTGAGCGTCACACAGCTGCTGTAGGTGTCTAACCTCAGTCTTGATGTAATTCCAGTGATCAGCCCTCCTCTGCTCGGAGCATCGTGCTCCTGCTGAGTCTCGGAGGATCCGTCACAGACGCGCTGCTGCTTTTCTGCGCTGCGCCACAGCCGCGCGAGGCCTGCGGAGCTCCAACACGGAACATTCCCGTCTGTTACCGCCTTAAACAGGCTTCACACCGCCGTGAGGCGGGTCACACGGTGTCCTGGATGTGTCATCATCCTGCTCTTTGTTTGTGTCACCTCTTTGAGGAGCCGTCGCCCATTTCAGCACCACCCAGCTGGACAGCGACCAGACCGCACGCGCCAAACCTCGGTCGGGTTTTACGGGTTTTAGCGCAGATTGAGAGGTGTGACGTAGTTTGATGGGTTTCAGGTGATCTTTATCTCCTATAAACACACAACCCCCCCCACCCACACACACACACACACACACACAGATGCTCACCGAACATATGGATGTGTCCCTTGGTGATGGGGTTGAAGCTGCCGCAGGACAGCAGGATGACGTGGGTTTTGGTGTTTTCTGTCATGTTCCTGTCTCCAGTCTCCGTCCTCCTCTTCTGTGGTCCTGTGTCCCGGTCCGGTACGGTCCCGGTCCTGATGTAGGTACGTGTGTGTGTGTGTGCTCCCGGGTCGTCGTTTGTTTGTAGCGGTCGGCCGCTGCAGAGAGAGACTGAGAGGCGAGGCTGGTGTGTCTGCGGCAGGAAGCAGCGTCACTGTGTTAAAGAGACACACACACACACACACACACACACACACACACACTGCACTGGTCACTGGTCTGACTGAATCATCACATATCAGACTGTGTCAGGTCCGTATTTTGGCACACACATGAAATCAAATTTATTTATAAAGCACATTTAAAAACAAGCTTGGTTGATCAACGTGCTGTACAATAAAGGTAAAATCACAGAATAACAAAGTGCAAAGATCAAAACTACGTAGCAATGTAATGTATAGTCCCATGTACACAAGTCCAAAAGTGGAGGAACAAATTGGAGAGTGGAAATAAAAAAGACTAAAAATGGGGGATAGGAGTTTAAGAGTGCTCAAAAGCTTTAGAATAAAAGTGGGTCTTAAGTCTAGCCTTAAAGGTGTCCACAGATGGGGAATCCTTAATGGAGAGTGGTAGACTGTTCCAAAGTTTGGGTGCAGCCACAGCGAACGCACGATCCCCTTTGCCCTTTAGCCTCGATCAAGGCACAGCCAGAAGCTGCTGGTTTGAAGACCTGAGTGCTCTGGAATTTAAAAGGTGATATAAGAGCTCAGAAATATGTGCAGGAGATGCAGGGAACCAAACTAAAAGTGAAGACACTGTACAGGAGAAGGTAGAAAACTAAACTGTCTCATGATGATTCCTCCAATATTAAATAACAACAATCATAAAAAGAAAAAGATGAAAACAAACAAACAAATTGAACGAGCATCATCATCATCATCCTCACTGTGACCTCGTCACATGTCCAAGTTTGGTCATGGACTTTCCACGTCCACATATGACGTCCAAGGTACCCTGGGTGTGTTGGTTGTTGACGTTCTGGGACGCCGTGTCAACTTCAGCCTGTTACATGCATTGTCTGTTTTCAAAATACACTTCTGTTTTCACAGGAAATTTTCAGATACTTTCAAATCTTTCAAAATAAAAGCAATAGATCGGCACAACACTGTGAACTGATGTTTTTTCCTTCAACAACACACACGTGGTTGGGTTTAGGAAAAAAGAACAGGGTTTTGGTTTAGAATCTTACGGGACGTGAAAACCACTCTCCTGGGTGAAAGTTGGTGTTTGTTGAGCCCATCCATGACCTTACCTGCTCGGCCCACTCAGACTTTCACCACAGTAAATTTCGTTCTTGTCGTGTTTCCCCCTGACACCGCCGGGCGCCATTAAACCATAACGGCGACTGGCCACATATTATGCCGACGTTAAAGGACAGCTTTTTTTGTTGGTGTCTGATGCTGCGAGTCACTGCCCAGGGGCCAAATTTTGACGACTTGGGATAATACAAAATCATTAATATGAACGATGAGCTGAGGAAGACCCCAGTTCAATCCCTGTGGCACACCACTATGATTTGAATAACTAAATGTCACCATGAATGTCTTCCAGGAGAGACCATCTGAAAATGTGTTCAGTTCCCTCCTTCCAGCTGCAGACACTTCACCTTTCGACATGGTCGGACAAAACATCATCGTCAAACCATTTTGTTCTGACCATATCCTTCAGTAACCTGCAAAGATTTGGTTACCCCAACCTTCACAAACTAATGTTGCTCTGATGAGTAGTTAAAAGGTGTTGCTTCAGACTCACAGAGATCATCTTAATAAAACATGGTCGACTGCATCAAAGCCTTTTGTTCAGACATGATGTTTGACCATGTCTGCAGTCTGCTGTGTCCACATTTGAAGGTGGCCTTTTGGAAGACCAGAAAAAAGACAGATAAGAAAGTTCAACCCCCGCGTGATTGTCAGATTTTATGTTTTGCAAGGTTGCAGAAATTGTCCGATGCAGCCTCCAAACATTGAAAATAGCAGCAGCGTCTTTTGGAGCAGGCTGAGGCCTTTACTTCCTGTCATTCAGTGGTTCCTCTGCGGCCGTACACTGTCACAGTCGAGTCGAGCTGTAGTACCTGTTGGTGTGGAGAAATCCTCATGGATCCCTGCTGTTAGTGATCGGGTTCATGATTCCTCTTCAGCTTCTTCTTCTCTGAGCTAAAAACTCCTCCAGGAGTCAATTTATAGTTTCTGCAACAGGCAGGAAGGAAAGAGCACAACTGATGTGACCTGATTCTGAACCAAACTTCACCTGCGGCCTAAAAACAAATCAGTCTGAGAGGAAGCTCCAGCTCAGAGTGTGTGTTTACGAGTCATATGAAATCCTACAGATTTATAGTTTTAAACCTAAAGTTACTGTGGTCATGTTTAGGTAAAGAAACAAGGTGGGGATGTACCTTAACACAAAGTTCACACCTTCTGAACACCGGTCTCCTGAGGAAAGTCCTGTGTTTTGTGATCCATCCACCGTCGCAACCTACCTCACCATACCGGACGCACAGCGGTACAATACGCACCAAGCATGTCAGTTTTGAAGGTATCGGGTTACAATCCAACTCACCAAATACCGCTGTTTTGTCAGTGATGTCGGCCTCAGATACTGACACACAGAGGCACTTTCCTCAGCGGTATGATACACACCAGGTACATCAGTTTTAGAGGCAGTGGGCAACAAACCAACTCGCCAAATTCTGGTGCTTTGTCATTGGACGCTGCTGACAGGCACGGACAAACTGAGGCAGCAGTACGAAATGCACGGGGTGACGACAGTTTGTAACGGCATCGGCAACTACCATAAGATAAAGCATGATTAAGTCCACATAGGGTGGGGGGGTCCAAAAAACTCACATGCATTATTTTGTTGCCTTAACATAAAGAAAGAAACATAAAAAACAAAGTTTTATCGACACTGTTAGTTTGTTTTGAAAGACTGTACGTACATAACTATCAGAAACTCTCCATTTTAAACTGAAATTTATTTAGAAAAACAAAGCATATATCAAGCATAAATTGACACACTGTCCCTGAATGTCCAAATCTGACGTAAGAGGGTACATAGCCAACTCATCCTCACTGTGACCTCATCACATGTCCACGTTTGGTCATGGACTTTCCACGTCCACATATGACGTCCAAGATACCCTGGGTGTGTTGTTGACGTTCTGGGACGCCGTGTCAACTTCAGCCTGTTACATGCATTGTCTGTTTTCAAAATACACTTCTGTTTTCACAGGAAATGTACAGTTTGCATACAGTCTCTTTCAAAATAAAAGCGCTACGTTGGTACAGCACCACCAACTGATGTGTTTTCCTTCAACAACACACATGTGGTTGAAAAAAGAACAGGGTTTGGCTTAAGAATCTTACGGGACGCGACCCATCCACCAGCCCTCCTGCCCACCCCACTCGGACTTTCACTGCATTAACTCTCGTCCTTGTACCTCCGCGTGTATCAACTGGCCATGTATCTTGCCAACGTTAAAGGACACCTTTTTTCATTGGTCTCTGACTCTACAAGTCACTGCCCAAGCGCCAAACTTCAGAGTGAGATTGGGCTCAGGTAGTGCGTCATATTTAGAAGTGATGGGAGAAGAACTTGTTGGGTATCTATAGATGACCCGCTGATGACTATGTGGTTTTGGTGCATTACTTTTCGTAGGAAAAATAACAAACAGTTTATGAGAGCAGCCTGGTAACAGTTCATTCATTAAACAGAGACGCAGCACTGAGCAGCTTCTTCAGACGTGTGCAGACGATACTTGTTGTGACATCAGTTACACTTAAACCCTTCAGTCTTGAGTGCTGATATGGTAATTATGGTTATAGTTATTATTTAAATTATTATTCAGAGTTCCAAACTGAGAGTTTAGTTTATTTAATGAGACTGAATTAACTGAATTATTTTTCCCTTTTATGGGGAACAGTGCCCCAAGAGGTGATTTGATGTCAATTGAAACATATTATTTAACACAGTTAATAATTATGTGTAATAATTATTGATAAGTACTGATGGCCGTTTGAAGTTTGAGTTCACACATATCGAAGCAGCCATTAGGTCTATTTAAAGTCAGAAATCACAAGTAACAGACATGCTTATCAGGTGACACTTCTGTTTCCAAAACTATTTTTGTTTTATATTTTAAAGTATCAGAGTTGATATTTGCAGATGGGTCACAGCAGCACAGCGATGTGTTGAATACAAAGTGACAGACTGTCTCTGCTCCACTAGATGGCAGCGTCTCTCTGAGCTTTTTAGTCAGAAAGAATTATGTGAGATGAATTCACACATTTGCTGTCTGGACATTAACATTAAGTTTTTGTAGGGGCAGAATCATAAATATTAATTGTTTCTTTGTAGTTTTCTTGTATAAGTTTTAAGTTTTATGACGAGTCAAAGATGAATCATTTCATCATCATTCTCACGAGATCTTTTTAATCCAGCCTGTAACGAGCAGTCATCTGTTTCAATATTTTAATATGTATTTTTCCCTGAATTAATTAATTGATTGATTGATTGAGTAATAATATATTTATGTATTCCTCTAATGTCTCCTTGAACAGTGTTGTAAAACTGTTTGTCTCTGTCAATGACCTGTAAAGCACTCTGTACTGTGCTATATAAATAAAGTTTATTCATTCATTTTTTTCTCTGTCCACGTGCAGCACCGTGCAGCTGCTGACGCTTCACTGATGTTGGTTCATGATTAAACAGATGGAAGATAAGATTAAACTTTACTGCTGTGAAATAAACAAAGGACCAGTAAGACACACAGAACGGTGTCATGCAGTATTATTCTGTAGTATTTACTTTGATAATGAGCCAAAACCTGAGCAGCCAACAAGGATTCAACAAACTGTTTCCTCGTTTCAAATGAAGCCTCAGTTCAAACCTGCTCCCCGTCTGAAAACACTCACTGGTCTACCTGGAATCAGCCCTCCCTCCTCTTCCTGCTCTCACACACAGCCAGCTCCACTCTGTTCCTCCCCTTCACATCTGCACTTTATAAATGGGTGGAACCAACATGGTGGTGACGTGACAGAGCTGACAGGCTGCATTCACTGCATGATCACATGATGCTGAGATCAGAGCTCAGACTAGTTTCACTTCTCAGGAAGTGAGACTCACACAGTCACTGCCACGAGGTGAAATGGCGCAGCAAGGAG